CATGCGCCCCGACTATTTGCACATGAGGATCGCATATCTTGCTACATGGTGGGATTTAATTGGGCTTAGTTATGGAACGAACATTTTTAGGGATATGGCAGAAACCTTCAGACCCGATTGCCAAAAACCAAAGAGCCTATATCGAGCTCTGAGATCGTTGATGGTGCGCAAACGGTTGTGTTAAATGGATGGCACTGCTGCAAATGTCACTCGGCGCGCGTATTTAGCAAGCGGGTTCAGAACATCCATGGGTGGCCTGGAGATTCGGTATGTAGCATCCACGATATTAGGCGGCAGCCTCTATCACCCATCCTATAGTTGTTGGGAGAGCAATCGCAACAATGCTGATTCACCAACTACCCCGTGGGTTATTAGTGTTCCGTGGCGAAGGCTGATCATTCAAGGTTAGCCTCACCTTTGTCCCGTAGTTCGAGCGTAAGCTCCGACCACCGCTACATCATCGCCGCTGTAAAGGCAACACGTAGACCAAGACTTTCACCCTACACCACATTTCCACACTACAGTCCTTTCCGATATAAGCCTCTGTCGCAGAATCTGGGATCTAGTCACACACAACTCAAAACCTCAATCTAGAATCAGACAAGCCGAATACCTACGATGGCGGACAGCGGCGTGGACATCGCATCCCTCACAGCCGACCAGCAAGCCGCACTCCAGCAATACACCGCCGTTACCGATCAAGCGACGTCCGACGCGATACCAATTCTCCAGCGCGCGCAATGGAATGTCAACATAGCAGTAACCCGCTTCTTCGACGGCGAACCGACCGAAGACCCAGTCGCTGCCGCCGCCGCTCAATTACCACCGCCCCAAGACATTCGCCGACAAGAGACACTATTGAATGGTTTTGCTTCACCGCGATCCTCAACAAGTAGTGGGAGGAGAGTCAGGATAGAGCCTGCGCCGAGGGTGGTGCCGCAGCCAGAGAGCCAAGTTACCACACAAGTTCCGCTGGTGCTTGCGATATTCTTTGCGCCGTTCTCGCTCGTGTACTCGTTATTCGCGAAGTCTTTCCGACTATTAGGCTGGCTATTCCCCTTCCTACCCCGCGCATGGGGGAGGGTGACGGCTAGCAACATCAACACACCCGCCTCTCAACGCAGCGCAAGCGGACGCCGACCTTTGAACCCACGGGACACAGCGGCGCGATTCATCCGCGAGTTTGAGGAGGAATATGGCAGCCACACCCTGCCGTTCTTCGAGAGCGGATACGCGCAAGCCTTCGATCTGGCCAAGAAGAACCTACAATTCCTGATGGTCGTGCTGCTCAGTCCCGAGCACGATGAGACGTCTTCTTTCATAAAGGACACACTTCTCGCACCAGAGGTCGTGGAGTTTGTACGGAACCCCGAGAACAATATAATACTGTGGGCGGGCAATGTGCAAGATTCGGAGGCATACCAGGTTTCTGCTGCGCTATCGTGCACGAAGTTTCCTTTTACTGGTCTTATCGTACACACACCGCAAGTGTCGTCGACAGCTATGGGCATCGCGGCGCGCGTAGCCGGTCCTACAACTCCACAGCAGTACATCGCAAAGCTAAGACAGGCGATGCAGCAACACACAGAGCCGCTGAATCGCGTACGCAGTCAGCGCGCTGAACAGCAGGCGACAAGGAATATTCGAGAACAACAGAACAGCGCATATGAACGCTCACTTGCAGCGGACCGAGAAAAGGCGCGCAAGAAGAAGGAGGAAGCGGAGCGGAAAGCCCGAGAAGAAAAGGAAGCACTTGAGCGCGAACAAGCCATTGAACGATACGCACAAAACCTCGCCCAATGGCGCAAATGGCGCGCCGCATCAATTCGCTCTGAGCCCAGTCCCGAGGAAAAGGACATCGTACGCATCAGTCTTCGCATGCCTAATGCCGAGCGTGTGGTCCGCAAATTCGCCGCGGATGCTCATATCGAGGAACTCTACGCTTTCGTTGAATGCTACGATATCCTGCAGTCTGAAGAAGGCGCACAAGAGAAAGTCGAAGAGCCAAAGGACTTTGAGCATGAGTACAAGTTCCAGCTGGTTAGTCCTATGCCACGCGAGGTGTACGAGCTCAAGACTGGCGGTACAATTAAGGAGCGCATTGGCCGAAGTGGTAATCTGATTGTTGAGCGGACGGACCTTGAGGATGAAGAAGACGAGGATGAGGAGTAATCGCATGAATATAGTCATTGCGCTGGCGTTATGCATGTCTGCTCGACTTAGCGTGGGACGTGGACATCCACTGAGGTTTTTGATATGATAGATACGTTGGTTACGAATGTGAAAATGTATGTACGGCCAAACACGTACATCTCTACTATATGCAGTTCTATTTTTATCCTTTTGAGCCAGATTGCCCTATAAGTATTTGCAAGACGATGAACACAGCCACAACTGTGCTTCGAGTGCTTGTATCGGGTAGGCTACGGCTGTCTCGGGTGCACGGGCCATATCTTAGTGCCGCTCCCGGTTTCGTCGACGGGTGACGCATCACAAGCGTAGATCGTCCAATCTGCCCATCGCGTTCCTCCAGACAAGCCTCCGATATGATCGCATCAACAACATAACATGGACAGAGCTAAGACTCGTAAGCCTCATAAGAAGTCGCGAAACGGCTGCTTACCGTGCAAAGGCCGACATGTCAAAGTGCGCCTTCCCATTCGAGTTACGAATTCTACTTGCGACTAACAAACTTCAAAGTGCGATGAGCAGAGGCCCAATTGCGCAAACTGCGTAAAGCAAGGCACGGTGTGTGAATACCGACCTTCCACCAACCGCGAGAGTCGTGAGGCGTCCCACGTATCGCCTTTGCCGGCTGGAACACCAGCTTTTACGCCGTCATCCACAGATGGTCATGCCAATGCTCTTGATCAGCAACCATTACCAGAGTTTGGAACTATCGATCTTAATGGCGCATCCAGCCGGCCTGATTTGACGCTGAATATACCTCAACTACGGTTGCTCCAGTACGTCCTTTCAATTCCATCTTGACGCTTTGAGAGTGTCTCACTCTATCTCCAAGACCGGTCATAACTTTCGGTCACCTGAACATATTCACTGCTTACGGAAAGAATCAAAAAATCTGAACTGACTCCGTGCGCAGTCACTATACTAATGTCACCGCCAAAACCCTCGCAGCGAATAATACTGATGCTGAGGATGTGTGCTCGACATTTCTGATACAGACAGCTTTCGATCATCCCTACCTCCTTCAGGCTGCTCTTGCTCTCAGCGCGCTACACCTGAGTCGGACTTCAGCTCCAGAAGAGGCTCCGCAATACTCGTACCAGGCCGAGAAGTACCATGACGCAGCTCTACTTAGTTTCCAAACATCGGTTCGCGACATCGATCATTCGAACTTCAAAGCGGTCCTTCTGTTCGCCGGAGTCCTATTCCCACACGCATGTGTAGCTTCAGTTGCAGCTCACTCGGATATGGAGCACGCGTTCGACAGCGTGCTTTCTAATCTGGTTTTGACCCGGAGGATACGGCCCATGGTGACTGGCTTTTACACGGAAATGAAGGCGAGCGAGTTGGGCCGCATGATTCCGGACGACGTCAAAGATATCGATTGGATGACAGAAGAACAACCACCCAATACTGAACTTGTACAGCTGCGCAAGTTCTCGGAGGTCGTCCATCATGTCTATCCTCCCGATATCGTGGATGCATATGGCTTTGCCTGCCATATCCTCGAACTGGTCTTCCAGGTCGCGGAAAAGTCTGATAAGCCGCCTTCCGACGCGTTGCTGAAGATTTGGATCCACCTCATCTCAAATCGCTATATCGAGCTTCTATCGGAGAAGCAGCCGGGATCTCTAATCATCTTTGCACATTACGCGGTCATGATGCACAGAGCGGCAGCGAGTTATTGGTATCTGGAGGGGCTCGCAGAGCAGATACTCAAGATCGCGGATCACATGGTCCCTAGCGAGTGGAAGCAGTGGCTTCAGTGGCCCAAGGAGCAGATACGAGGTGGCTCTGTTCCGCCGACACCATATTCTGGACATGCGACATGAAGCCTTGGAACTTTTCTTGGCATTCGACATTTTTATCATTGTGCGCCGAGCTGTGTACGCTCCCGACCTGCTGCAAAAGGCGAGATGTTCCTCCATGGAACAAATCCTCCGACGCAGGCTATGCTGCCCGTTGCGGAGACGCGGAGGTTGCAAACATGCTTGATTACCGCCAGCTTGCGCACAACTATTGCATCGAAACAACATCCCTACGCCAAATCAGTATTGATTATTCCTTCCACCAGACTGCTTTGGGATATGCTTGCGAAGAATGTGTGGCTGGCTTGACGAAGTCTTGTGTCGTAAGTGGAATCAGGCTAGGCTCGAGTATCCGCATGTTGACTGATCAGGTAGACTACCTTTACAGGACTTGGCTGGTCAGCGTAGAACACGACCATTCGAAGCGATGATAGTTATCAGGGGGAGGCTGTGCGAAACGTGCGAAGCAGCCGACTTATCTACTTGCACGCACCACGTCAAGATTTACGACGTATTCTAGAAGCGACATTGAAGACTTCCTCCTGCTACCCCGTGTTTGACACCACTACACGCGAGGAACTAATGTAGGATGTTCGAGGAAAGAACAAAAAAGGTGGAGCTCAGTATTCGGGCAGCAATGCGATTGGCGCGTCGTATCTGGACGCGCTAGTCGTATGCACAGACCCTTCTCCTTCTCTATCCGAAATGTCTACGCTCCCAACAGAAGGCGGGAACGTTGCTCGGGCAATCTACGTACGGGTCCAGGGAATCTAGATACGGGATACGCTAGGTGGGCTGTGCCCCGCGGCTTCTCGTTATGACTTCTATACATAAAGACGTTGCTATACTCTTCTCCATCAGCCAGCCTCAGTCCACATACCAACAGTCCAACAGTGTATTACCACGGACACTTCCCAATCTTCCAAATACATTGCCACAACTGTTCAATTTGATTCCGTGGTACCACAAGGGCTCTTGCCTCAAACCCCCTTCCTCCCACCCAAGATGTCGACACCGGGACCAGTAGACGACTCAAACGCGATACCAGAGTACGTACTCTGGCCGTACACACCTACCATCGCGGCCGGCGCCATTACCGCCGTGATCATGTTCATACTGTTCTTCATCCACACATACCGCCTCGTCAAGAACAGGACATGGTTCTGCATACCCTTCGTCATCGGAGCTCTAGTACGTATCCAATCCCCCCTCCACCCCTCCAGCTTCTGGTTACAAAAGCTGCTCAACCCAAGAAAACACATTGCTAACACCCACTCCAGTGCGAAGCCATAGGCTACTCCGCCCGAGCCGCAGCCCACAACGACACCGAGAACAAAACCCCCTACATCATCCAATCCACGCTCATCCTCCTCGCACCCATCCTCTTCGCAGCTTCCATCTACATGATCCTCGGTCGCCTCATCCGCCGCACAGACTCTGCTGAGTACTCGTTGATCCGCGTAAACTGGTTGACCAAGCTCTTCGTTGGCGGCGATGTTCTCTGCTTGTACGTTGCCAAAACAGCACAACACAACACAACTCCCAAGAAGCCATCCATCATGCTAACATGGGTATTCCAGTATGATCCAAGGCGGCGGCGCCGGCATGCTCGTATCCGCCTCCGACGCCGACGGCTTCAAACGCGGCGAAAACATCATCCTCGGCGGCCTCATTCTCCAAATCCTCATCTTCGGCTTCTTCGTCGTGGTAGCGGGTATCTGGCACGTAAGACTCCAAAAGGGACCTACAGCTGCGTCGGCGGATATTCCGTGGACGAAGTTGATCTGGTTTTTGTATGCGGCTAGTGTGTGCATTACTATTCGTAACCTTTGTAGGGTTATTGAGTATGCGATGGGCAAGGTATGTTTTGTTCTGTCCTTTCGATTAGTTGGTTGAGTGACTGCTAATGGATGGATATAGGATGGTTATCTGCTGTCGCACGAGTGGCCGATTTATGTTTACGACTTTTTGCCTATGATGATTACGCTTATTGTTTGTGTTTGGTGGTACGACCCCAACATTAAGCCGGCTCGCAAGGGAGATATTGAGTTCGCTCGTCGATAGACAGTGTCGGAACTTGTTTATGTCAAGCATATTACAGCGTGAAGTTGGGAGCGTATGGTTCTGCCTGGTTTATCGACCCGACGACGAGAGCGGGACCTTTATTATTGGCAAGCCGCATGTTGATTTCTTTGTGTAGCGTTCATGTTGGTTATTTGGATTTTGTAGGAAAGAGCGCTCAGGGACATGGGTTTATGGAGTTTCCATTTGGATATAAGTGTAGATACCTAGCATAGCACATACAGGCCTTGTTTATCTGACTCTGCAGCGAGTTCATCGCTCATATCATTAACTTTGTACCAAGTACGTATCTCTTCATGATCGCTATCCCAACTTATGCACGGGGAGAATTGAACAGGTCTACGGTCTACATGAAGACGGCAAGTTGCAATTTCCGTGACCCAACGTCAATGTATGCTCTAGGGTGTTCACTTATCTCCTCGGGCGAGATTGTTCGCTTTCGCGTTTACTATTGACACAAAGCTACACATGTCCCACGTCTACTTCTGAACCTCCATCTCCCTCTTCTCCCCTCTCTAAACCAAAGGTCTTAAACTAGGCTATTCCTGCCTCTCCCTCGCATCATCAATCGCCTTATCCCAATTATAAAACTTCATATAAATACCCTCTGATACCGTAATGCAGGCCGAACCCACCGCACACCCCGTCCAAAGCCCCACCAACTTCATATCCTGCTTGAAACAAAGGAAAAGCGCCAACGGCACCGCAATAACATAGTACACAAAGAGATTGCACCAGCCGCCGATATTTTGTTTACCCAGTCCGCGGAGCAAGGCGTTTACGAGTGCTGTTGTGGAATCCGCGAATTGGAAAGCAGCGAGGAGGGGCAGTACGGTGGCAACTATGCTGACGACTTCCGGGTCGCTGGTGAAGGCTTTGGGGAGGACGTTTCGGCAGGCGGTTAGGAAGGCGAAGTCGATGAGGCCGATGGCGAGGAAGGTTAGGATATACGTCTTTGTGGCGGTGCGGGCGGCGGAGAGGGAGCCGGCGCCGATTAAGTTGCCCAGACGGGTTGAGACGGCTACGCCGACGGAGAAGGGGACGTGGTAGATTGCTACTGCTAGTGTCATGACGATTGATTGCGCTGCTAGGTGAGCTGTGGAAAGATAACTTGTCGAAAAGGTAAGAATGTCCTACAAGAGGATTAGCGTGTGCTCCATGTCCGAGAATGCAGTGTATGAAACTTACAAAAGCTAGCCACTCGGTCTCGACCATAACGATACCTGGGACTGCGAGTTTGGCCATGGGCCCCCAATGTGTAAACGCAGCCTTCGTGAAGCCGCCCCAGCATTCCAGCGAAGACGGGTTAACGAAGTATACGTAAATCCAAAGCAGCAATGGTAGGAGGTTGTTGGAGATGACAGTCGCAAGAGCGGCACCCGTGAGATCCCAATCCAGAAAGAAGACGAAAACATAGTTCAGAGCTATGTTGATAGGCGTCGCAATGAGCAAGACAAAGAGCGAAGCGTTGAATAGGCCCTGTGCTTGCGTGAATCGCTTGCCAGCCTCGAAGATGGCATATCCTGGTGCTCCTGCGAGGAGTAACGAGAGATAGTATCCAGCGAGATGCGCAATCGCCTTCTCGGGAACCAGGGCGGCCAAAATCCAACCCGAACACAGCCAGATAGCTCCGATGGGGATGGTCACAGCTAACATGAAGAGAATCATGCGCTGGAGGTGGAGTCCTACCATGGTCTTCTTTCCAGAGCCGTAGGCTTGCGCACAGAGAGTGTCTAGTGATGTGGCCAATCCTTCGTAGATTGCTAGTCCGGTGATGTTGGCTGTCATTGTGGCTAGAGAGACCGCACCAAGCTCATCCGTTCCGACTATACACAACAAGAGTCAGTTTGTATCCAATGACTTTTGCGATGTGAAACGTACTATGCCCTACGACGAATATCGTCACCAGACTGAATGAGTACTGCAGCAGGTACGTCCCCATCAACGGAACGCTGTACTTCAGCAGCAACTTGGCTTCCTGTCCCGCCGTGGTTCCCAGCTCTTCTGTCGTCCCATCTCCGCCCAGCAGACTCTCAATCTCAGAGGGATCAGGAATCGCGCCATATTGATTCTGCTTCGCCGCGTTTTCGTGCGCCCTAAGTAAGCCGACGCGCTCAGCCGTGCTCGTCGAGAACCTGCGCGCCTCGGGAGCGTCCATTGTGTTATAGGTAACGCCGCCACCAGATGTAAAAGGGAACGGAACAAAACCCAGCGCTAAAGACGAGATGTCATAGTCGTATTCCAAGTGCGTGACCTCGATGTGCTGGACTTTGTCCTGGTGTTTCGCTCTCACAGTCGTCGGCTCGGGCAGCCAAAGTGGGGCTAGGAGCTGGGCCTCTGCCGTCAATGGCGCATCTCGGCGCATGGCGATATCGGGCAGCTTGCAGCGAAGCAGTAAAGCGTCGGACGACTAACGAGGGGCGGGCATAGTCCTGCCTGTGCCGTGTGGAGTTTGAGTGCGACAGGTGCCCGGATGCGGGAATGTTTGTCCAGAGTCTGCAGCTTTTCACGAGGTTTTTGTGGTGCGAGATGGGCACTGTCGTGGGCTCATTTCCCGCGCTGGGCTGGCACCAGGGTCTCCGCTGCTCTCGTTGCCATGTTTACTGCGAGCTGTGCCTGCACCGACCATTCGCAACGGCGGGCCGCGAGACATAGTCTGGTAAGAGCGAGGCGTTGGGGTGCGTGGCGATGATCGTACCATCGTAACGCGCTTCGGAAGGACTCCCATTGGCGCGCACTGGTTCGTGATTCTATCATCTCCGAACCTCCCGGTTCGCGCTACTGTCGAGCACGTATGCTGGATTACCTCACCGAGCATTTCCATTGAAGCGCAAACTGTATGGCTGAAGACGGGGAGGACGTCTATCGCAGCGGGAGCATTCGCGAGACGAGAATTGGGAAGTTTGGCCGACCTGCGTGTAGCTTTTCATTATCTAGGAAGAGAACTATCCTCGGTCAGCATATTGTCGACTATTCTTTCCTCGATAAATGATATCAACAGCTCTGATTGTTTTCTGCGTCCCATACATCGTGGCCGTACTATAGTCGTGCAGATGCGTTGTCGAGCATGAAATGGAGCACAAGGTCTCATACTGCGTTAACAAGAACGAAGGAAGAGAGTTGATGTACCTGTACTACAGACGAAGATTGGACGTCAGTGTAACGTCGCCATGACGGCTAAGGCCTGATACAAGGCAGAGCGAGCCACAACCATTTTGGTCTCGACACGGGTGAGCGACCATGCCCAGGAAAGCTGTCTTGCACTCTACACCCAACTTCACAAGTACCAAGAAAATCGACTCGATTTCAGGCTGCTATATTCGTACCCGCTGCTTTCATCAACATCTACTACATCTTCCGCCTTCTCTCCACTGTGTCGTTGGCTGTCATGTAATCTGATCATCGGATCTGATCAAGAGCCTACCGCGAGTTCAATCACTTCCTACATTGCTAGTACCATATGTCAGGAATTCCTCTTCCCACCCTTATAAGAAGGCAGATTATCTAGTATACCTTTTAGGAGATTCCAAATCTGATACATAAGATTGTAGTGCATATATATGATACGAAGCCAAACCCAGATTTCAGCGAAATTGAAACACTGCAACTACATCTGCATAGCGTAGCGACCACTCACTGCTATATAGCCGCGAGCACGTACATTTGACACGTCTCGAGCGATTGCTTCCTTGAATACATGCTGTCATTGCATATCCTTTCGTAAGAATGCTTCAAGTTGAGCGTGGGCTAGCCCGTCTCACCAACGAAATACGAAGTATTCAGCAATGATTGCTAACACATGACCTCGGGAGATACCGCTCCAGTGTCTTTCATCTACCAAGTACGCCAAGGACATCTACAGAACAGCAAGTCAAACAAACAAGTTATCATCAAATGTCCACCGTTCGGTTCCAAGGTTGGCTCGGTTTCTTCGGTTATCAGCCACCGTCTGACATCACATCACATGACCCTTTGAGTCCAACGACATCACCCGGCGACATTCATGTAACCATCGTGACAACCGTAGAATGTAACGCTATTGCGCTCACATTCTCCCGGTGGCACACACACACACACACCACACATCTTACATCACCCAAGCACCCATCATCATCTTTATATCCATCCCACCCTTATTCCCAGCACCGCTTACCCCATCCTTCTCCGAGCGATCCGAGTCTCACTCGCCACAGCCCTAACCCAACAGAATCCCATCATCGAATTTCGTGTGTAGCCCAAAAACCCGCATGTGCCAAACGCGTAGGTACACCCCAATATTCACGACTCAGAAAACCTTCCGCAGCACCCACCCCACGACCTCGCGCAAAGCAAGTAACCCGGCGGTACCCAGCGGGGCTGCACCAAGGCACTTGCTCATCCTTTTTCTCGGCGGCATTCATGGCGGAAGCAGGGAAGACATTACGTCAGTTACGCTTCTTGCCCAGTCCGCCGAGAGGAACAAGCGCGGGGTGGGGTGGCGCGCGCAGAGAGGAGCGACTAAGCGGTTGTACGTAAGAGGTAAGCCGTCCTTTGTGCTGTGCCGTGCCGCCTCGCGACGAGACGAGACGACATCGTGCGATCGGATGGCGTGTGATTTCCGCAGTGCGGAATGCACTGTAGGTAGGATGCGATGCGAGTCGGATGAGTGTTCCCTGGCGAATCGATGAGGGTACATCCCAATCCTTTTCCACCTCAACGGATGTACCGGCAGCGCAAACTTCTTCTCTGCACTCATGGCGTGACTATCTTCCATGCATCTGCATATCGAAGGTTTCTTCCAAGGGAGGTTTTCTACTGGTTCGTTGCTAGAAACGACTTCCCTACCTACACCTAGAATAGGTTTAGATGTATCCCGGGGTAATACATTGAACTACAACGCATCCAGCATAACGTGCAAACATACACCTAGGTAGGGCAAGCTGCAAATCTATCTATCAATAAACGCCCGCCCCCACGAACCTACGAAAACAACGAGGAGCGGG